TTTTGTCATCACGAGGGATTGATCCTCTGGACCATTTCCTCTCCACTTTTTGGCCTTCTCGGGGCCGTTCAGCGAAAATGGACCTTGGTTCTGTAGTCCACGCTTGAGTTCCTATAACACGCAAGAACCATTATGAAGAAGCGCACCTGTTCTGGAAAAACGCAGCCCTTAACGTCCTCCCTTTTAGTACGATGGGACTCTTAGCTGTGGCTCTGCATTTCATGACGCGTAAATTTTAAAAAGGTGAGGGTGCGAGATCGTAAACTGGCACTTTGAGACCACTTATAGGCTAGCTTTAACGAACCACTTATTTGCCTTCCAATTGAAACGCGTTGCAGTTTTCAATTACTATGTCCTTGTACTGATGTACAAAGAGACTTCTGACCTTGGAAAATGGGCAAAATATTTTTAGGACCTTTGCTATGAAAAAAAAATCAAAAAAAAAACAGTGCAAACCTTGTTCAGAAGCAGTGCTGTCAGAACGAATACCGCCACCAGCTCTAAAACAAGTGGACCGGCGCCCATATCTACTACATACGCTATTTTAGTATCTCATCTGCAATGCATTAATTAACAGCATAGTTGTAACGGATAACTTTTAAAGATCAGTGATCAAGATTCGCCAGAAATCTGATTTCATTTAGCTGACAAACATTAAAAAACAAGTACAAGAAAAAGATCGAGTGAGGAGTAGACACTTCTAGCGAACGAGTTTAATACAATGTGTGACATTCGATGATAATCTAAAGAAAAGTATTTGCGCTTCCAACACTGAGGAAACAGGGAACAACAGAACAGATGAAAGTATACTTTATTTCCCCAACGTCCGCTACAATTCACACTACATGATCCTATTGCTTAAGAGCTGCAAGACGAGCGGCTTCAGCAGCCTTTTTCGCTTCTCTAGCTGCCAAATAATCAGCCTTCTCCTTCTGCACCTCCTCTATCATTTTGCTCAAAGAATTGCCTTCCAGTAGTTGTTGTACAGATGAGTCAACCTGAAAAGTCTTATCGCAGTTGAAAGAACAGAATCAAAAAAAACTCGTAAGGTGCACGCTAAAACCGAGAATTGGGAAAGAACCTTCGGAGTTTCGAAAGTTGTAGGAAGTTTGCCAACGACATCAGCATTAGCCAGCTGGAATTTGGAAGCAAGTCGGTTCAGCTCGTCCTAAATTCGAAGATGGTGCTACTATGTACATATTTTCTATCTAAGTCGAATGGTGACTTGAACAACTTGCAAAATGGACATGGAGAGTTGATTCACGGAAGGATGTCTGATCCCCTTCTCAGTAACAAATTTTACTTAAAAACTTGCGAAATGAAATTCACTGAAATAGTTAGAAAACGTCACAAGGTTCAGAATAGAAAGACAGAGGGAGGAGCGGCCGGCAACTGCGTCACTTCCGCGTTGTCAACGTCGTGTTTATATCAGTGAATGTCGAGTAGGGGTAGCGACTGCTGGTTGGTCTCGTGCGCGGGTTCAAGATCTGTTAACATCTGCGGTTACCAAGGCCGAACAAGCAAGAAACGGACTGGTTTCATTTTCGTACATCGAGTTCGCCAAGTGCAGCTATTGAAGATGGTGAGCGAACCCATCCAGAGCGAACACCATCAAGACTCCAGCTACGTGTGTTTAGGGGAGGGGTTACGGGGAGTGAGGGAGAACCGGACTAATGAACGATCCTATTCTAGAACTTAGCAACAGAAAACGAGAGGCATGGGGAGCACACAAAGCAGGGTGAAAATCGTGTCGAAGACCTGGTCACATCACTACGACCCCTCCCCTCAGACCAAGGTCTTGGATACGACCTCTCCAACTTTGATTTGAAGCATTCAGTTGCAGCGCGGTTTATCCGTGGGTCAGATTTGCCGAAACCCCGCTCGAAACCGTCGAAATCTACACTCTCGATGAAAAGGTTCCATTCCCCATTTCATAACCTTTGGAGCAGTATGTGGTAGGGTTAGATAGAGCTGGATTTGCTACTACCGGGCAATATTGAAATTGATCTAAAAGCTTTACACTCGAAGAGATAGGGTCTCTCAAATTTTGTCGAGGCAGCGTCGAGGATGCTGAATTTTTCATGCGAGTTTTTGCCACTTAAAAGGCAATATCTCTCTAATTTCGTAAGATCTTGAAAAAGGAAGACAGTTTGAAAGCGGAAGGTTTGCGCTTTCTAACATCTGTTAGCTTTCTTCTACATTTTCTAGTTGAGGAGATATTTGCGTCGAGGACGGATCTCGGCCACCTAAAAAGCCGCTCCCTTCTTCACCATTGCAAGTTAATTCGTTGGCAACTCTCGAAATGTGTCTAGAATAAATTCTCCCAACGCGACAAGAAAAGGGGCAATCGTCATCGTCCGATTCGTCTCAGTATAGGCCATGCATCCGACCTCACTCAAGTTGCAGAATCGATTGAAAGGTGTTATATGATGATGACCTGTTGACAGAAACTGTATTGTAGTAAACACATTTCGTAACTCCTATAACCTAAGGAACAGCTTCATTTGCCCAGGGTCTTTCCAGAACTATTGTCGTTTTGCGACAGCGTCCCTAACAACAGCGTCATTCTCAACGAGGTATTGAGGGCGAGGGAGCGGGCGGCTGATAGAGAAAATGCCTTCGCAGCGCGTGCGCACATTCTTCGCGAAGATGCACTATCTAGTGCTTTTCTTTTTATTACTTTAATACTTCCTTCTCGAAGGTAGAGGGACGGAGCGACTGAACCTGCAAAGAATATTTTATATCATGTTTTCTCACATATCCTTGTTTTCTGCTGCGCTACACCCTCTTACCTATCTGCACCACGATGCCACTGACGTTACTGACCCCCACGAGTACGACCCCCCATGACCAGCCCTGACAAGTACGACCCCCTGTCGAGGATTTCCTCGACCGATATTCACCCTGACACAAAGTTGCAGAGGTCTTAGCGAAGAAGATGAAAAACATCCGCTCCCAAAATAACTCTTCAATTCTGCAGTCCGTCTCAGCTAGGGTGAGTTCCACTGACCTGCACTCTGCGCAAGTAGTATGAATTCGACTGAAGTTATTCGACGGTTTACGGACTACTTGAACTTTCTCTATGGTCCTGCCACGAATGGCGGAGAGCACAGACGATTAGAGAACGGCGCCTGGCTCGGCTCCAAATCCCAAGGAAGGAGGTGAGAGCCCTAGGACTAAGCCTTGTAGGGGGAGGGACTCCGAGGTGGGTGAGCCAATTACAGTGTGGCAAAAGTTTGAATGTGTGAGATCACAGTGGTCATGAGCCGCTGATAAGGTGAGAGAGCGCAGACGAAAGCGTCGAGTGAGGCAGCTTAAAGGGCCGAGTTCAAGTAGTCCGTTGACCCTTATTCGACTGTGGCGAGTTCGATCTCGGCTTGTGCCTCATCAATACATTCAGAAGCAGAAAGTGATCCAAATTTTGAGCTCTATTAACAACCAAGATCATGAGCGTTGCCACGTTTGTAGAGCAATCGAAACGTCACGCGATTTTGTGATGATCATTTGACCGGAGAGCTTACCCACGGTATGCTTTGGGATGTTAAATGAACACAAATAAAAAAATCATGTCGATGGATCGTGGACGGCCAAACTTTTCGTGAATCTCCGCCATGCGATGTGGACAAAGGGGGAACTCGTTGGTGCGCATTAGGATTCGGAGAGCAAAGGCAGGGGTACACGTAATACATTTGGGAGGAATAAATCTTGACACACCTAGGACCCTTCCTATATCTACCGTTGGCAGACAACCGAGAGATAATGAACATTCCATTTAGATGGGAACTTATTCGACTATCCTAAAATTCACTACGAGTTATTGTGGGATCGACGCATGAGCAACACAGGAGCAATTCAAACAGGATTCTTTCAGTTTCCAGTTTGAAATGTTAACCATTTGCCGAAACGCACCCCCCCCCCATATATGAAAAATAAACGCATAGTATACTTACAACTGAAACATCAATAGTACAGAAACTTACGGTAAGGGCTTTCTTAACAGCAGGATCCGAGCTGGCGAGATCTCCACCTTTCTGCGCATACTCACGAATCTTCTTTATGAAAGCTTGTTGGACGAGATCCTGCTTGCTGACCGCTGAGAATGAGAGTGAGCGAGTCGATTGTAGCGCACGGAACATCTCGTTTCACCTCTATAAACTCTGAGTGAAATAATAATACGGCTCAAGTGTAGGAATATCGCAACGCAATAGTTCATCACAGCAATAGAAACCTCAAGGAAGTGCACACTCAGTGAAGCAACTTCTTCGTGCAAAAGGAACTGCGTGGACGAAAAACGAAAATACTTATCGTGATGATTTTGAGTGTCTTGGATGTTCCGCGCTGCGATGCCCTCCCCTGACTACAGTTGCCAAAAAAAATGCTAGCAATTCTGTCACGAGCAATTTGATCAGTAGAGACCTATATAAGCACACCACATACATTAATGCTAACATTTTGTTGTTTTTAAACAAACGAGCATTATACTGGTACCCGAGGGCCGCGCGTTCCCCACGAAAATGTGAAGCTCGTCCGCACAAGCGTCGCGCGCGATGTCGGCGGCGCGACACGCGACTAAAGGACCGCGTGTGGTGCGTGATATCCCGGCCAGGGCCAACCATCCTTTCGCATTTTCGAGCGAGGGGATCGCATTTGTGGTTTTAAGAAGGGGAGGGTTGGATTACTGACTGTGGGAAAAGTTTAAGGGAGTCGTTAAAGGAGAAGTATTCGATGGGATTTGTCGGGTTTTTCAAAGAGTAGGGCGGACGTCTCATGAAAATAGTGTAAACTAGAGAACTAGAGGAATTGGCGGACTCCTTACTTACTTTACTCCTTTCTCCTCCCCCCCCCCTGCTTGACGCTGTCGTTTTGGAGAAATAGAAAGAGGGTGGTGTTGGGCGTGTCGACTGGTCCCTCAGAATACGCATCGCGACCCTTAAGGGTGGCCCCAGACCTCACCCTTGAAGGGGCCCCCAGGGGGAGGGGGAGGAGGTCGCAAGATTTTTGGGAAAGTGCGAACGCGTTCATGGTTGACCCTGATCTCAACTCTCTCTCTCTCTCTCTCTCGTTAGCTGACATGAGTGCTACTTGATGGTTACTGTAACACATTTGTGTATCTAGCATAGCCTCAGAGAGCACAAAATGAGGCACTATTGGCCTAAACTTCTGCAATGGTTGTTATCGAGGGTCCTAATCACGAATATGTCCATTGTCCTATGTCCTATTATATCCATTGTCTGCGCTGGCGCCGGCCAAACTGGCGAATTCACTGTAAACTTGTATATAGGGGTTATTTGGGCTTGATCGAGCGAATGATCGAAACGTGTTCTTACGTTGGCGGTATTCGGCGCTTGTCTCCTGCACGTCTGCGCCCTCTCACAATTAGTTCGCGATCCGGACGAAGCCTTGGAGAAGGGAGGCTTCGAAAGTGAGTAAGACACTCACCCTGTGATCCCTAGGCTGATGTCAGAGTCCGCGATCCTTTGCGCGATTTTCGCGAAACCTGCGATGGATCACAGGAGTTGGAAGTGCCCGATGAATACTGCGAGGTGTTGTTTAATCCTGCTGCGAATTCTGCTTGGCAGTAAAGATTGGAAGACGAATGTTTGTGGTTCTACTTGTTTCATGTTCAATGTCTATTAGTTCATTGAAATGCTCTTGAATCGTTCCTATTTTTTTCAGGAATCAAACCAAACCAATCACAAAAATTGCAAGTGCCCCATTTGAACAATTGAAACACTGGATATGAAACAAGTGGAATCATGAGCAGTCTCCATTAAACCATAACCATCAAGCAGAAGTGGCGGCGGATTGGAGAACACCTTGCAGTATTGATCGGGCACTTGTGATTTCCGTGACCCGTCGCGTAAATCGCGCAAAGGATCGCGGACTCTGACATCAGCCATACACTTCAACTTCTGCCACACAGTGCGTGGTTTACCCACTCCAGAGTTTCACCTCCCTCCCCTAAGCTTAGTCTTAGGCGCTGTAGGTGAGAAAGCCCAGAAAAGCAGAAAATATGCGTTAAACAGCGCGAATGTCAAAACGAATGTCATATTCGTAATCAGGACCCCAAATAACCCCTATACACAAGTTTACAGCGAATTTGGTGAAAACAGTGTGGCGCCAAAGGCGCCAGCGCCAAAAATGATATCATATTCGTGATCAGGAGCCCTCGATAACCCCCATAGCGAAGTTTCAGCGAAAATTTTTCTTGACCCATCTTACTCTCACTGAGGTTGTAATAGTGCAATAGTGCCCAAAATTAGAATGGTGATTAACACAAAGCGGGCGACGTACGCCCCATGGTGCGCACGATTATTTTCCTTTACTTTTATAATTTTTCTGGTGATCTAGTATACCCGTGTACAGGGGTCAACCGTATATTGGTGCAAGTACCAACGAGGGGGGTCGTATTTGTTCTACGAGGTGGGAGTGAGTGCAACCGCAGTGATGAGCAGGGAAATCGTAGACTTTGAAATGCACCAATGAATTAGAAGCGCGGCGCATCCCATGGCAGGGGTTGTTAGTGCAAAGCGTTTTTCTTAGGACGGCTTATGAAAAATGTCGTTTTTGGTCACCAATAAAATTCACCATAAAAACAACAACAAAGCACATGACCCCATTCTGAACAGCTGATTGTTTCCGTTTTCTGTGCAAGGAATGGTGACTTCTTTTAGACTGTTCAGGTCAGGGTCAACCCTGCGTTGCGCAAATTCCAAAATTTTTACGACCCCCTTCCTTTTCGGAGGGTATCGGTACGACCCCCCGTATTAACTATTATGTCTTTCACATAATTTAATGCTCATCATTGATGTGTGGGCAGTCACCAACATGGTGGACCGTGGTCAATCCGCGCGCTCTTGTCTCGCTCAGAGGAGGGAATCGAGGCAACATGAAGTTTTATTCATTAAATAGAAGGAATTTCCAAATTTTTGCGTAAACCAATACATCATTTTAATCGTAAAGATTTCTACTTTCAGAAACCTACCAGGATTTTTTTCGATCTCTCAATTTTCCTTACCTTATAATCTGAAAAACTAAACCTTGTAGCAATTACGTTGCAATCCAAACCCCTCCATTCAGAAGGTTATATTTTTTTCAGAAGCGGTCTCATGGAACCGGACACCAAAATTTTAAAAATTCAAATAGTTTTCTTCCTGAAAAGTATTTGAAATGTTGTGGATGTTCAATATTTCAAAAAATCGTCCCGTTGTTCCGTTTTTTGTGCACACGCGAGTTTTCGACATTCAAACATTCATAACTTTCTTCATAATCAACTTTTTGCAGATGTCTAAGGCTAATTAGAAACTAGAAGATTAGAGCTTTCGAACAAGTGCTGAAACTTTTTCCAAATAATCACTCGCTCAAAAAATAGTCCCGTTGTTCCGTTTTTTCCACCTTGATTTTTTTCAAGCCATTTTCCTGACTATGCAGTCTTCAAAGGCCCATAACTTCCTTCAAAATTAATGTGATGAGAAGCGGTAAAGATGTTAGAATCTACTCGAAGAGTACTTCATAACAAGTGTGAAATTTTCCTGAAATTCTTTCTTCTGCCTCAATTTTCCTAAGGGGTCTCTAGAACTCAATTCAGCAAATTCGCTACACTTTGTTCCGCTTAGATTTGATTTGAAAGCATCGAAATTCTCTTCAGAAAGTTTGTCTGCTTACGGCCGCTGACAGAGAAGGCGTTTTTATGGGAAAACGCCTGCTCGGGTATACGCCGTGCACCTGTCTGTGGGCAGAAGTCGCACTCGCATTTGAAAGTCTCCATTTTCCTGAAGAAGGTGTTAGTATCGTGATTGAGTTGCATGTTATATGGTACTCTTGTTTCACTTCCCATGAACTGCTCTACACTTTGTTCTCCTTGGGATTTCAGGAATGTTCGATCATCGAAGACAGACCATGTTTTTGCACTACGCTGTAACAAAGTTTTTGGCTATTGTAATCTTGATCTATGCTGTCGAGCGAAAGCGCCGTCCGTGTATTAAGGATAATAATGGCTGATAGTGAGACTTATAATGCTCTGCATGCTCTAATGCTCCCATGGAGCTCTTGTCTGTGTGACTCTCCGACAGCTGCACGGTGCAGAGCTCCTGGAGAACATTAGAGCGTGAATGTGCACTTTAGGGGTGAAACTCCAGTTCGGGGGGCCACTCCATTGCTATCTTATCCGTAGTACTAGAGAGCAGTTCTTTGGGCTATCGAACACTACGGATAAGATAATAAGTGAACGACTCATTTCGAGCGTACTTTTGATAAGGACCGGTGGATGTCCTACATTCCACACTACCTGCCCACATCCCATCCACTTTTCTGCACAGGTGATCCACCCTGGAGCTCCTGCACCCTTAGCCCTTTGCGGAGGTGTCCTTTCTCCTGGTCCAGGACCGTTCCCTTGGGTCATGGCAGGCGGAAATGTGAAAACGTTTCAGGGTTTCTCACCCATTACACCAATATTTATCAGAAGTCTACTTTAAATGAGTCGATTACGTGTCGTGAGCCCTCTAATCCTTATCTTGAGTATTGGAGAAAAAATGGAGTGGCCCCCCCCCCGAACTGGAGTTTCACCCTTTGAGGCACCGCACTTTTCAAGCCGTCTTGCAGCCCCGTCTCTCTAGATACGACCCCCTCCCCTTTCGTTCGGCCGAATACGACCCCCTCGTTGTTCTTTGCGCAACGAGCGGTTGACCCTGGTTCAGGTGCGACTCGATGAGGTTTGACACCAAAGTCTTAGCGTTGTCGAAGTTCTTGGACATATTCTTGACCAAGGTGTGCTGTGCTGACCGGAATGAGCGGTAATCGGAAGACCCCAAGCCTGCTCCAACTGGCAGGCGGAGCAGAACTTCCACTTCTTATTCTTCGATTTCTTTTTCGGGTATTTAAGCACTTGCGCTTTTCTGCATCAATTTCACATCGGACAGAATGACCCCTTGATGACGCAGCTCTTGGTCCAAACAGGATCCCTGCTGTGGTAGAGTTAACAGTAACTGCCCAACCCACAATCAATACTTCAAGCTACACCAATTCTGAACTGTCCTGCAATACAAAAACAAAACCTTCTGTTCCGTGGATGTTGCACTTCGAAGACGGTCTCAGCTGTCCATCTGCCAGGGCGAATATCGGTCGAGGAAATCCTCGA